GAATCAGACAAGAAGAGAAAGGGTGAATTAATTGCTAAAAGACCAGAAACATTACGTGCTGCTTTATATGAGTTGATTCCACACAAACAACAAAGAGCTGAAAGAAAGTTAAATAGATTAGATAAAGAGTTAGAGAGTTTAGAAAAAAGAAGTCTTGAAGATGCACATAGAATGAAAGAAGCTATTAGAACACGTAAATTCTTACAAGAAGCAGTCAAACCAAAAGTTGTTTGTACTGGAGGAATTATTAATTGCAGATATTGTCATAGTCTTGGAAGAATACTCAAAGTTTCATTGAGAAATAGAGAAGAAGATCGTATAATTTTAGAAAGACTTCATCATAGATGCAATAAAGAATTACCAGAAAACCAAGCCCGATGTATTGATGTTGCTATGAGATTAACTGAAGTTGCTGTTAAAGTATTTGATCCAGTCAAATTTAGAGTTGCATCTGCTTGCAAGAAGATTGGAGTTTGTGGCATTTAAAACAATTTAATTCAAAACGGTTATTGTTGTTGTTTTTTAATTGTTAAGAAAGATAATATAGAAATTTGTTAAAAATAATAATAAATTTATAATATAAAATAATAAAAAGTATTGTGGAAGGAAAAGAAATTTGTAGAATTTAATGAACTTTAATTCTTTACAAACTGGGACAAATATGAATGGTATTCAAATCCCATTTTTCTCATTACAACTGATTCACTCTACAGCTATGAAAAGCGATATATTAGAGAGTTATTTTAATTCATTTCATAGAACATTTTTAGAAAGAACACAAACACGAAATACCACATTTTATGAACTAACTAATGAAAATGAAGATAATGGAAATTTAAATATATCAAGGCAGTTTGGTTCATTCAAGACACTACACCTTACTGTTACTAGTGATAATAACCCATTATTTTTATTTGACGAGAGCCGAATTATTAATGAAGATAAAGTACTACAAATTAGGCCACCAATTAATGACGTTTCATGTATGACTTACTGGAATTCAATATATGGAGAATATATAATTGTTGGACAAACAACTGGGTTTATATCATTTGTTGATTTAAAAGAGGGAGGTGTAATTAAAACAATTAGAATTGTAGCTTCAAGAATTTTTTCATTAAAAGTAGTCAAAACTACAATTGGGTATCAATTAATAATCATTTCTGAACATGATAAACAACAAGAAATTACTTTGTTATTACTCCAAAAACAAAATAAAAGTATTTTTGAAGTAAATTCAACTTTTATTCCAGTGGCAATTGGAGTGTTTGATTTAGTTTCAATGAATGAAAATGAAATTATTTGTTATTCTAAAGAAAATAATGAAATTGATACTTTTACAGTTGACACAGACCGTTATGTTCACTCATATACTTTTGACCTTAGAGGTATTAAAAATAATATCGTTGGTATATTCCATACAAATGAAACAATTATTTTATTAGTGATGAAAGTTATTAGTAAATGTAAAGTATTAAATGTAGAAATTTATTCAACTTATTCATTTATTTCACATAATCCATTACTTATTCAAACTATTGAAATACCTGTTTGTTTATCTTTATTGTCATGTAATAAAATATTTTATTTAATAATTTATAGAATGAATACGTTATTGGAATTTATCCAAATAAATCTATATCAAGTCATATTAAATACAATGGTTCAGAAGCATTAAAATATTTAGATGGAATATTTATTTGTACAAAATATTCTGTTTATAGAATTGACCCAATGATGTCTCTTAATGAAATTTTAGAAACAGAATTTTTGGAACGCCCAGTTGAAGGATGGAAAGATTTAATTCCAATAATCAAATCATTTTCTATTCCAACGTCATTCTTCATCTATTTATCAAACAAGCTTCCTATTGAAAAAGCATATCGTTTAATTGAATACTATCCAAAATTATATAAAAATCTATTCATTAGATTAGTTAAAGAAAATGCAACTTTAGAGTATTGGGATAAATTAACAAATATTCTTCTTTCACTGGCAGATGATAACCCAAACATTTCAAGTGATTTATTAAATATATTCATTGCAAAAGCATATAAATTTAATGAATATATAGATACTAATTTCATTGAATATATTTTAAATAACCAACACATTAATTTTAAACAAGCAGTTACTAAATTATATAAAGATAAAAGATATATTTCATATATTCTGAAAAAAAGTGATAGATATGCAGTTGAATTATATTGTACTTACATTCATTCTTTATTAATAAAACCTACATTTGATTGGATTAATGAAGCAATACAAAGGGATGCTAAAATTTCTATTCCAATTTGTTCAACACCACAACTATTAACTTCACTTTCTTTTCATGACCAATTTCAATTATTAAAAAAAGCATTACAAAAAGAACCTAAATTTATTCTTGTTACTTCGTTAAGAAATATTATTGATTCATTAAATGAAGATGATTTATCTGACTGTCTTCAAATAGTTGAACCAGGAATGATGTATAATTGTATTTGTCTTGGAAATGATGGAATAGAAGATATATTAAAAAGTATTAGAAGTATTATAATCATTAAACAAAATATTACCTGTTTAAATAGTGATTACGATAAATGTTATTCATTTTTTGATTCTTTGTTTAATAAAACAAAAGCAAATTTCAGTGAAGTTTACGAATACTTAATTCTTAAAGAATATTACTTTGCATGTGCTGTTTGTTTAGTGATGTATAAACAACATCAATTAGCAATTGAACTTCTTCTAAAACACATGGAAGTGTTGCCAAGTAAAGAGGAGGTTCTTCAATTAGTTATGAAACTTTCATTAAAACTAGAAAATAAAGAATACCAAATTGATCTTTTTGACAAATTCCTTTGTTTGTCTGTAGAATTAGATATTAACCCTAAAGTGTTCAACCAAATTCTAAAAGATCAGTTTAAAGTAAACTCTTCTTTTGTAGTAAAACACTTTTTAGATGTTACTTTCAAAGAACCAATTGATCCAGTGTATGAACCACTACTATATAAAATAGAACCATCGCTTCTTTCAAAGTTTGAGCAAATCAAATATAGAAATAAAAATACTATTCTTGAAGATAGCAAAGTACTTCAATTACAACTTTTATCTTCACTAAATAAATCTATAGATTTTTCCGTTCAAACAACTGTTAAACTATTAGGAGAACATGAACACTTTATTGTGTGGTGTCCTAAGCAACATTCTTTTGACTTAGAAACTTTAGAAGAAATAATTAAAGAGTTTCAACTAAAGCATTCAACAAATAAAATAGTAAAAGAATTAACTAACCTTTACCATCATTTTAAAACAAACAATAACAAAGGAAAATTAATTTGTCCTTTCTGTTTGAAGCAAACTTTAACAAAATAAATTTATTAATTTAATATATCCCTTTTATTTCTACTTTTTTTTGATTTATTAAAACCAAAATCATTTATTCAAACACAATCGATTAAATAATTAAAATTCTTCTTTAGAACTCATTTTTTTAAATCAAAGTATGAAGTACTTAAACGATTTTGAACACTTCTAGCAACTTCTTCTAAATCAACTACCTCTGCTTCTTTTTCGTTCAGTTGTTCTAGATAATTCTGATTTATTAATTCTAGTTGTTCTTTTAAACGTATTAAATTTTCATTACTTCTTATTAACTCATCAATTCTTTCTTTTGCCTCCCTTAGCCTTTCTTCTAATACTGTTTTCTCTCCTTGAAGAGCAGCCACAGATGGATTGTTTCGAATTAACTCTTTGTAAGCTTTAACATCAGCTTGCATTCGTTTATATTCAAAATTCTCTGAATCTGGAAGAACCTTTCGTTTAAGGTTATCTCTTTCTGTTTTCAATGCTTCATTCTCTAACTTTAATTTTTCATTTTCTATTTTCAGTTGATCAACAGATAATTCCAACTCTATTGGACGAATTTTCATTTTAATGTTCTTAGTGTTTCTTGCAAAATTTAAAGTTCCCCATGTTTCTACTGCATTAGAAATACTACTAGAAATTGTTGCAATAAAACAGATTCTTTCACTCTGAAGCATTGAATTTT